CAGAAAAGTAATCGGTGTCAGTTAAAAATAAATAAAATCTAACTGATTATTAAAACAATTTGTAACAAACTGTAATAAGATTCTGGTTTGTTATGTATATTTAAAATGATGATAAAAAATGACTATTTATGACATTTTCAACTGTTTTTTATTACACTATGTTTAAAAAAAACCTGTTGACATGTGCGAGTTCTGAACTTTAAAATCCGGGGTTTTCCCGCATCTTATCCTGGTTTATAAATTTTAAATTTTAGAGGTGGCAACCCTACCTGTAACAAGTCTGCAGACAAACGCGAATCGACGTTACTACCATTATAAACTCTCAGTACCTGAGAGATCAATATTTTGCAAGTTTTACCCAAAGTTGGATATAGCTTTACATTCCGGTCATAAAGTGTTCTAGAGAATGGAGATTTCTTCGTTTAAAACAAGTAATGAATTACAAATCTTCGTTATCTCATGAAAAATTTTAACTTTTTGGTTCTTCTATTGTCAGGCTTGTTTATATTTAGTAAGAACGCGTCCGAATTGTGGAAACTCTACATAACCTTATTTTGAATTTAACCCGTTACTTATAACAAAATGATTCCGCTTTTGCTAACTGTGTATGGCAAAAGACTAACCTAGAATCAGAGAATTGTTAAACTAATGAGGTGTTTACCATAAATACATAAATAAATAAAACCAAAATCAAGAAAAATTTCCAAAAACATATCTAGAGGTGAAAGAAGATTTGTAGACGACCCCCTTTCTAGGCTCCCTGTATTTCTTGTACATACATAATATTAAATTTCGTGTCTCAAACAATAAACGCTAAAAATTTTCTTCCTACTGTTAGGAATAACTCAATTTAGATAAAGAGGAAGAAATTATGCGGGATCTGATAGAAATGCAAAATGCCCTTTGAATACGGCGGATTTATGTGTAAGTGAAGACTGAGGTTTCTGGTCTAACTTTCGTTGGACATTGGGAAAATGCTTATGAATAATTCATGTATCTTACAGTTCTCTTTATAACAACAAATCGGAGAAAAGGAAAACAAAATAGAAAAGTGAAACGGACCGCAGATAAGAACTTTCCAAATTTCTCTCCTTTTCTTCTTATACCTTTTATAATTTGGTTTTATTTTTCTGCTACAATTATTTCTTGTTCTGTTTTACAGGTTAATACTACCCTTACTTTTGACAACTTACGTTTGTTTTTTTATTAATCTAATACATCTTTACAATAGAGAAAACAATTATTAAGAGTATCTCTTCAAAAAAATTATGGATTTTAGTGGGTGGTGAATACCATAAAGACATTTGCTATAAATTACAAGGAGTTTATTATGTGGAGAGATGACCTATTTACTTTTATGGTAGATACTTATTAGAATTAAAAAATATCTTTTTTAAGTTAAAGTAACAATAAATAACACCTCTATTAGTGAATTAAGAGAACACATAGAGATTGTCAAGAAAGCTTTATTTTGCTGTCAGAAAAAAAAACAGAAAAGATGTAATTGATAGTGGAAAAATAAACATTAATATATTTTTTAGTAGGATAAGGTATCTGGTTCAAAATGAGATATGTCCTATTGTTGTTAATTTAATATTAGTGAATAAGGCAACATAAAACACAACATTATTGTGCGGTGACGATTATTATTATTATTTATAAAATAGAATCCTTAATGTATCTTCAATTAGACAATCATTTTGTGTTATTGTCATATAATAAACTGGGTTTAACCTAAATTTGCGTTTTGACAGTCATTTTAGCATTATTAATCGTATGCTTAATAACCTGAAAACTCTTGATAGAAAAATGTGTAAAGTATTGGCGTTTCCAAATGGAGTAAAAAGCTCTGTCTTGTCTTCCAGGTTTTTTAAGATGAGTTTGATAAGAACAGTTAGAGTTCTATGGTTTTTTTGCGATTATTACTTCGCATTTGCTTAACGTTTTATTTTAGAAATTTATTTGAAGAGGGTTACGCCCTCGCAGAAAAAAAGAGCCGATCCTCTGAATAGTAATATATGTATATTAGAATGCGATATTCGTTTCTTTACTCGGGTTTCAACCTATGCCATTGGACTATGGTCTGTCTCGGTTTCGTGATCATATCTTGCCAGTGTTTCGTCTCCGTAGCACCAGAGCCATTTTTGCCTGAAAATGGTAACAGTATTAATATTGCGTTATAACGTGCCACCAAAATAAGAACATTGATACATTGGGTATTACTTTTAATTAAGTTCCTGAACTTATTGCTAAGGTAACAGATGGTAAAGTAAAATTGCATTTATCAAGAAGTTGAATTATTAAAATTTAAAACCGATATATACTCAGTGTGATCCAACAATGCGTTAAATTATAATAGTTTTGGATGCAACGGAGCTGTAAAGAAAAGTTTAATACAAATGTTGTAGAGACAGGACAGTCTCTGTAGGGGAGACCGGGGATGGTTGACTAGTTTTTTACTGAATAGTTCATATTTTTTGTGTTTTAATGTATATAGACAAGAAAAGCATGTTAATTGATAGAAAATCTATTAACCTAATAAAAATATGTAATATTTAGTTCTTAGTTTAGTATAATAGTGATGATTTAATGCATTTTACAAAATATTAAATCTTAGTCAATCTACCCCTGGCCCGGGGTAGGTAGACCATATGCCCGGGGTAAGTTGACTCATGTACCAGTAAGAGTCAAATCATGAGAAGGAGGAAAATAATTAAACATTTTTTTAAAATAATTAAACCTTTTGTTAAAAAATAAACTGGCTAAAGTTTCCTCTTCTAGATTAGTAAAAATTTGTCAATTTTTTATATATTCCACTGTGTCCAGGGTTAATTCTGCTCTCGTCAATTTCGGATTCTGTTCTAATTTTTCTTTTAATTTGGCCACGTAACGATTTAAAAGTCCAATAAAAAGTTAATTTATGTGTTGTTTTCAACTACATATTTCATTGGGGTTGGTTGAATAATTATTCAACCAGCCCCGAAAAAAATTGGTCTACCAACCCCAGACGCCATTTTTAATTTTGATCGCATGGCTAGCCTAAACACTGCCGTTGACTTGAAAAATAAGATATGAAATATGATAAATGTGCCCTCATTAAATGCTAGGACTAATAGAAAAATGATTTACATAAAACGAGTAGGCATCAGATCAAAAAATACAATATATCAAAATATTACTTATGTAATTGAAATATGAAAAACATGTCAGTGTTCGAAAAAAATGCACGACCGCGATGTGACGCTTCAGACAACTGAGCGGGACGCGAAATGTAATGCTTGGTTATGATCAGATGACATAGTTCATACACTGTTGAAGAGTTTTCAGTAGTTAGTCTACCTACTCCTATAGTCAACTATCGCCGGTCTCCCCTAATCAAAAACCGTTTCAGAATATACATGGTGTTGCATAAGTTTTGCTGCGAGCCAAGTGCAGATACTTTTCAACATTGTTTCAGTTTGGATTAACCCTTTTTTTAATCATTTACGCTATTCATACAAGGATGTCGGTGTTTATACCGACAAACTTAATGTTTTTTTTTTTTTTAGATTTTTAGCTATTGTTATGAAGAATGAGTAGTTTATAAGACACCTTAGACGTTATTTCTAATCACTTCACCTTGGAAACACTTGCAATTGCAAGTGTGCTTTTCATTAAAGTTAGCTAATACATTTTCGATTCTTTAATTACAATTTACAGGGCAAGTCAAACCTACAGTTTTCTCAATGACTTCAAAAGGAACGTTTTGAATATTATGGCCAATTTGAATTTTTCTATTAATTTTCTTTCAATTTTATTAAGGGTTTCCTTTACCTAAACAAATAAGAAAATTAATTGATTGATTTAAGTAGTACTTTGTCATTAAATCGAAAATTAATTAAGTAATTACGTCGCAGAATGAGCAATTCTAAAATGAAAAAATAGACAGGGTGTAAGAAAAATAAGTGCGAAGCTTGCAGGAGGTAATAGGACTCTGCGAAACATTAAAATCATGCAAATGTGTAAGTCGAAAGATTTTGAGAAAAAAGTAGTTGAATGTACAGATAAATTCAATTGCGGCCCTGGTAAAGAAATACGAGAACACAACGTCGCGTCCAATCAGCTGACATTTAGCAACATCAGTATTTCTTTTGTATATTTTTACTCATGTATTGCTTATTATTAGTTCAGATTATGTGTAGTTTAGGGTGCTTATGTTACAGCAAATTGTATATTCTGTTAACGTTTAAACCTTGTAATTTAATTAGTAATTAATCAGTAATACAGCATCAGACATTAGAATAGGTCAGTATGTTACTATAAAATGGTTGTAGTGACAATGATGTGACATCTCCGCTGTAGAGGAGGAAATGATTAATTTCATAGAAGACAACCCTCAAAATAGTACACGCGAAGTAACAGGGAAGGCTCCTGCGATTGTACATCAAATTTTAAAGGAACAATTACTGCTTCATTATCACATGGAACAAGAAGCTTTGCTTGACACAGAATTTTGAATTTTCACAACACTCATTAGTAACTCCTTGATAAATAACCAGTAAGCTCACTTACAAACAAAAATCAGTCAATAGTTAATTTTTCCTAGTGAGATTATAGAGCTGCTGGCGAACCACAAACACAATAACACATCTGGAAATAACTCGATGGTGATGTGGAAATTTGCCTTAATAAAATGACCTTCAAATAATGTTATTTACCTACTAATGTTTAAGTAACCTACATTTTTTTCTTTCTTTTGTGTGTTAAAGTGTAATTTATATGTGCTGCATGTAATTAGCGATGAACAAAAATATTTATTAAATTAATTTTTATAGTAATAAGAAGTCCAAACATTATGTCTAGCAGTAAACTGTTTGTTTATCTTAGACGTTTGATAACCGCAACAGTTTACACTTTTCATTGATGTAGCTGCAGAGTTTTCGTCCAGTTTGCTATTCCTGCACATCGACGTTGCCAATTCACGTACAGGACCGGCTTCACAGATTGTTTTGTTTTTTTTTTAAATTCTTGACTTTAACCACATTGTTGAACTTACCATGCGATACCATACAGCATCTAGTTTACGCCTTTTACAACTCCGCATTTATTTATGTTATTTATAAACACTAAATTTGGTTCGTGACAAAAATAAACACAAAGAGAACTTTCTTCAAAAAAAAAATGAAGTGGTACCTATTGAAATAAAAGATATCACAACAACATCACGATTTTGGATTTTGCCCTGATAGTAGAAGTGCAAACTGGCTTTAGATCTTCTGAGGTAGAAAACGATAAGATCATGTTTATCGACTCATCAAGTTACCTCAAAAATCCATTCGGTTTAGATTCCAGAAATTTCGTCTCAAAAATATTACTCTTAAGTTTGTTGTGGCAAGTCTACTGTTACACCTGGTGATAGAAAGCGAACAGACTTTACTTCATTATCTAGTGTATGATAATGAAAGTTCAGAATTTTGTTTCAGTTTTCCGTGCAGTACTGTACGGATTATACGCTCCTCACCGGTTAAGAGTTTGGCCGAGAGTTGTCTCCTCTCTTTCTGGCCTAGTGCTGTTCTTTTCTACTTTGCGCTGGTGAAACGGAAGGTCACATCGCTACAGAAAGTAAACGAAGAATGCACTGTCTCGTCTGCAATAATTGCATTATCTTGTTCTATTTTCATAATTACAGTAAAACTATTTTCGACAGTTAATAATACAGAGAAGTAACTTGAGCCGTCTGTATGCTACATTTCACACCCTTAATTAACAATTAATAATATAAAATATGTTTGCTTTTTATCACTAAGTGTATCTATTTTTAAAACTTTTAGAAGAACTTTTATAAATTTGAGTGAGATTAGAGACTCGTTTATTCAGAAAATTTTATTGTTTCTTTCAGTACACTTTCGTGCCGGAAATTGGAGTTTTCTAAAGATATTTAAAAGCAGGAAAGTTTTACTACAGTTAGAATTTCGTAGTCTCAAAGATTATTACCCAATACGGCAACTTTAATTTTTAAAGTAATTACCATTATACATTAATCAATTTTTTTTCAGCGTTCGAAATGTGGTGTTATAGGCGGATGATGAGGATATCGTGGGTAGAAAAGGTTAGAAATGAAGAGGTATTAGAAAGAATAGGAGAACAGAGGACTCTATGGAAGTCAATAAAAAATAGGCGAGATAGGTTTGTAGGACACCTTCTTAGGCATGAAGGTCTAGTCAGAGACATATTAGAGGCAGAAGCAGGAGTTAGGAGGGGTAGAGGTACAGGTTCGCAGATAGTTAAGGATGTGGGTTGTTCTAGTTTTAGGGAAATGCGAAGTTTAGCTCAGGATAGGAAAGAGTGGAGGTACGTGTCCAACCAGTCTTAGGACTGATGACCTTATGATTATGATGATGATCGAGAACATATCAAGACTTACCAGCAAGAAGTATTCTTCCTATAAGCTCATTTCTGCCGATATTGTCGAAATCCATTACTTGAACGTCCAAAGAACATTCTCGAATTTTTTCCCATGGGACATTAAATGAGAAAGTATCGTTGAATACTGGATTCAACGTGCATTTGAAAACTGCAGTCTTACGCTTTTCTATACGCTTGTCCCCAAATTGGAGCCAAACTTTGACATACGGATCTGAAAAGGAAAATGGAAACTAAGTAACAATCTTAGCTCACAAATATAACTTATCAAGATTGATAAAATAAATAATATTAAGATTGGAATTCGCCGATGACTTTTAGTGAAACAACATATAGAATAAATAGTAGGAAACAGACACTTAAAGCAAATAACCAGGTGTTGATGCTGTCACCTTCTCGTAGCTTAGTGGTAGAGTGCTGATGCATAAAACCGGGAGCCCGGGTTCTATTCCCGGCGAAGAAGTGTCATCAGTAAAAAAAATATTTCTTCATCAATTTGAGGTTATCTGTAGGGTTCAGATCTTCATATCACGTTAAGGGCAAGTGAAAAACTTCATTTTTAACCTCTTATTTATTGATGTAAAGGGGGTCATTTTTCTTTATAAACAATTAGAGCTGGAGCGTAACGTACGAATTTTTAACCGAGGCGTATGAAAAGGTAACTTCGAAACAAACACTAAAAGAGCAAAATGAATCTCCTACGACCAACGGAAACATTTTTTTTTAAACATCACATGTTAATTGTTTGTAACTATTACGAAATGAATTCGGTAGTTAAATCATTATATTTTGTAGTATTGTTTTCTAAAAAGTAGTAATTTTTTTGTTATTGCCAAAAGACCTGTCTAAAGTAATCAGTAATTTCGGTCAATGCAACGTAGCGGTATGATATAAAACATTGAAAATTTTCATCTGGGATGATACAAAAAATTATGAACAATGGGGTAAATAGTTTTCAATTTAATTAATACTTTTTGTTCTAACAGTAATATTATGTGCTGTTGTTAAATTACACAGGTCTGCGGAACTTGTTAATATTTGTTGTAATTGTATTAAAAGTAATAGAAAACGATATTCTTATGGTTTATGCCACGTCACATTAATCCATAAATGCTCAGAGAACACATTTCCATTTGAACCCTTGCCACGTAATGAGTGCGACGAAAAAATACTCGATAACCAGTGTTTCTATGTTTTTAACGATCCTCTTTTCGACGGTGTTGGTTAAAAGTACCTCTGACAATATTAAAGCATGGAAAAATCGAAAATAAACAAAGAAAACGTAATTTTTAAATTGACTTTTTTCTTAAAAAGTATTTTTTGTGTCCTTACGATTTTTTATATGCTCAAAACCTATATAAATCATGACCTCGATATCTAAACATGAAATAATCACCGTTGGTCAAGTCGAAATGCCTTTACAAACTGTTTGATCAAACCAAGTTTAATGTAAAGTGGTGGAAGCAATACTTTCTTCTTTCAAACTCGTATTGATGACATTTTTCACTCCGACTTCCAATTGCATTCTAATTTGGACATAAATATACCGAATAACAATGATTTTGATTTACCATAAGTCCACTGTCTTAACACTTCAACACATAACCGGCATATTTTATCGTAACCCAGTGTTTATCTTGGTGACACAACTTCATTCTGAAGTAAGCTTAATAAGCATTTTTTACAAAGTCTGTTATATTCAATCTTTGCTTAACTATTGTATATTGTCCGCAAATGTAAAAAAATACATTTGAATTGTTTTTACAAAAGCCATAGTTAAAGATAAATGAAACACAATCTTTTATTACACGTTAATATTATATCTCTCTCAATAATGGCGCGCTATAAACTATTTTTTTTTTAGGCGGTGTAAACGACTATAGTTACTTTCAGACTATCTAAAATAAAGTAAAAGACAATATAATGCTCAGTCAGAGAGTATTAAATAGAAATATAAGCTATAAAATGAATTTTGTGAAAAAACAAATAAATTTGCCGATTCAAAGAGCTATATACATTTACATATATTAATCTACATCAAGAAAAAATGTGACGTGATACGTTAAAACAAAGTTTATATTTGCAAATTATAGACCAACATTTGCATGCTTAAGGTAAATTTATACAAAAAACTTTTTTATCGCAGACCTGCGTTATTATAAGAGATGGATAATTTATTATTTTTATTGTTGACTTATTTTGTTTTCCGAACAAATATTCATATTTATAAAAGAAAAAAATGAAAATAGTAAGAAAGTGAAAATCATAATGTAATACAACTTAGTTTGTTTTTTTGCAATACATACATAAGTAATGTAAAAAAATAATCCAGGGATGATTAACTGTTCACCGGCAACAAGAAGGAACAATTCCCGTCCGGTAACAAAATGTCGGGAAAATTGTCTACCGACTGGACTAACAAGTTATATATAAGTAGGGAAAGTTCTTATCTATTTAAATTAAAGCATTGTGTTTGCTTCTTTAATAATTAATAAGCAATCAGTAACTGAATTTATAAAGTTAAAATTAAGGAATTCATTAAGCTATCAATTCTGTTTAATTTAAATATTTTATACCAGACTACAAAATAATAATTTTATCTATTTCCTGCTTTAGTTCCAGGAAGTGAAATTTCCTAATAAATGGAATATTTATTCAAGAAGGTTCGTTGTTCAGACTTACAAAATAATTAATACGAACTGTAAGTTATGTAAATGGAACGTTGAAAAAATTAAACAATTTGTGCTGAACGTGGATAGAAATGCAAATTTGGCGGACCCTTTTTTGTTTACTTTTTAGTTTTCTTAAAATCCCCGCTGAAATTTCCAGAAGAATTTAAGTTCTCAGTTTACATTAACTTTGTGCTTTTTAAATACGCAAACGCTCATTTTGCATTCTAGTTATCTTATCAATATTAATTAAGTAGATAGATCGATCTGATACGAATGGATACTATAAAATTAGTTTCGTATGCCGTAATACGTAGGTACTTACATGTATTTATATATTAAATACTCCAAGAAGCTTCTAATGGCGATTAACATTTAACAATATTCAGAATGTGAAATTAATTCAATTTCCATGCACCACAAATTAATGAGCAAATTGTTGCTACTGCCGGAGTTCGAACTCGGGACCTTTGGCTCTACGTGCCACTCCTGTTACCACTAAGCTATAAGAGGTAACAGTAGCAACAACGTAGAAACGCACTTATTATGTCACAGAGTCGTCGAAGATAATGTATTTTTCTATTAAATTGAGGTAATTTGTAGTGGTTGGAAATTGAATGAATTTGACGTTAATGTTTGAATATTATTAAATGTTAATCGCTATTAAAAAGCTTTTTAAAGTGTTTCATATATTAATATACGTGATACATGCATTAATTTCGACGACTCTACCTCTTAATAAGTACGTTCTCTCGTAGCTTAATAGTCAGAGTAGTGGTGCGTAAAACCAACAGTCTCGACTTCCATTCTCGGCGAGGGTGTGACAACAGCAACAATTTTTCTTCATTAATTTGAGGTAATTTGTGGTGGGTGGAAATTGATATAATTTCACATTAATGTTTGAATATTATTACATATGTACATTAAGAAAAAATAAATAAAGAGAATATTAAACTTATGAATTTAATTTTACATAAATTGATAATGGATGACTTTTTGACTGAGGTTACAAGGGACACTTTAAATATGAATTTCCTAACCTTAATGAGGGTTAAAGTTGAGACTACCAACCAAGTTCCTGAACATTTTTTCTACGTCAACAAATTGCATATCTCAGCTGTGCGTTTGTGCTCTGCTATAGAGTTGAAGCGTCAAAATTTGATTATAGTTATTTCAACTTGGGTAGATGTATTTACGAACAGTTATTTATAATAATGTTCTACCGCAGGTGCGTTTGCCTATCATCATCATCATCATCATAAGGTCGTCAGTCTTAAAACTGGTTGAACACGCACCTCCACTCCTTCCTATTCTAAGCTAATTAATTAGCAGCGGACAAAATGGTTAAAAATTGTACTGTTGGAATTGTACCATGGAAATTTTCGAAGAAAAATTGTGAACTTTTGGACTGCGGAATACTTGTTTGTGTTTACGCTCTTTGGTGTCCACTGGCAATTTTTTTGTATTATAAATCTATTTAAATGAAACTGTACTTCGTTGCTGAGCCAAGTCATGTCAATCGTTGGAAATTGGCCTCAAATGTTTCTACAAAACTTCTTATGCAATTTAAAATCATTGGATTTAAGAGTCCGTACTAACAGAATTTTGATTGGGTGAGGTTTTAAGTTCTCTATGATTGTAGCATTGTTTAATAGTATTTCTCGAAATGGTTTTCGTTTAGAAATTAACACGTCATACTTTATATTTTTGAACAATTTAATGTGTTATTTTTTACTAATAAACATAATTTTTCTGTAACTGGTCTACTTCGATTTATTATTTATCTACTCTAATAAAAAACTACCTTGCGCCCATAAATAAGTCTTACGCCCTGCAGGTAGAACAACTTCCTCAGGATTTTCAATACTTTCAGCAGGACACATCGCCCTTGTCCAACTGTCCTTCTAGGTAACAGGATAAATACTTCCACTTTCTATCATTAAGCATTGATGATCATTCATAGTTTTAACGGAGGAAAAACAAAAAGTAGGCTATTGCTTTTGCAAACGTTTCCCAATTTAATTCATGAAATTCATTTTTGAATTTAAAACGGAACAATACGGTATTTCTATCAAATGAAGTAAGGTTGCACCTTTCAGTCAATTTTGGAATTCCAAGGAGCTTTAGGTCGTTTAAGTTTTCCTTTTTATGTTTTTGTAAATAATTCTGTTGCAGTTAATGTCTAATTATTTTACTCTAAATTTAAATTTGTTAAATGTAATAAACAAGATCTGATTCATTGAGATTTCTTATGATGATGATGAACTGTTTTCACTATACTTTTGCGCTTACTAAATGTTACTTATTAATAATAATGTAATGTTGACATACCACCATTGTTTTTATGAAAAAAAAAGGAAGAAAGTTGAAATTACTCACCCGATTTCCCGTTTATGTCTTTTGCTTTCAAATTACGGGCTTTCAGCAGGGTTAAGGTAAGAATACTGTTACTCGGATGATAGCAGAGAGAAGTCAATAGTTCGCCGCATTTGTCTTTCGCTGGCGGCTTTAGCGCTTTCCAAAATGATGGCTTCTCGCTTAAATCGACCTAGAATGAAAGTTTCAAGTCATTAAGTGTAATTGTTGAAACAGTAAACAGTGGATTGTAATTTATGACCAAACTTATTTTAATTTACTTCTTATAGGAATTGCAGCAAGTTAAATCGAACTTGCATGGTGACTTAAAAAGCCTCATTTTCTTTGTTTGGATTACTGAAACGATAACCCATTTCCACGTGAACGGATTCGATAGTTATGTCATACTTTCTGCTACAGAATATTTCCAATGTAGACACAAATACTAAATTGATTTTAAAAGACGGTATCTCTTTATTTATTCACATGTTTTCTTAATATAGTATCAGGAAATATAGAAAATAAAAATGGACAGTTCCACCAGTATACTTGCTGCTAATTAATGCATTTCAAATGTGAGACAAGAGACAAGGACCTTTCTAAGACTTCTGTTTGTCCAATTAAATTGGCAAGACAGGTTATATACGTAAAAGCTTGTAAAGCAAATTAATAAGAACGATTTAATTTCGTGACCATTAATGTAGTACCGAAAGTGCCTTATGTAGCTGTCGATTTTGAACTCGTTGTCACGTCATGGGCAGTTTCGAATCTCAATAAATTATCGACTTAACCTAAGATGCTATGTAAAAGTATATTTATACAGAGTGTTTCTGAAATTAAATAGCAAGCTTTGAACGGGGTTATTTAGGTGCAATAGGTAATGGTGAAATTGTAAAAAATATAAGAAGTTACGAATAAAATAATTCGAACTGGTCTGTATTCTGTCGAAACTGCCAGACGCGGATCGCGATTTCGATTTTTTTGGATCTCATCAGCGCGTCGCAGACAGCTCCGACAGAACACAGACCAACTTTTACCTGCTGTCTTAACAGCGCGTTTTAGGAAATACCACAAGTGGCGCGGTAAGAGCATACTACAGATGGCGTTTACCGCGCCATTTGTCGTATTTTCTATAACGCGCTGATGAGATCCAAAAAGATCGAAATCGCGATCCGCGTCTGGCAGTTTCGATAGAATACAGACCACTTCGAATTATTGTATTCGATTATGGTAACGTGCCTATCACGTTGAGGTTAGCTACGCCGGGATTCGTTTGAGCAAGTAGATATCCATATATTTAAATGGACCCTTGTTGGAACATACGAAATCCTAAAATGTAGCATCGTACTACAGATGGCGTTTACCGCGTCATTTGTGGTATTTTCCAGAGGAAGTTACAATTCGAAACCGGCTCTGGGCGTTATCACAGCACGATTTATCTCAGGTGTGACAATGTCAACAAATTTATGTTCTTTACATAATTTTACATGCAGTAGAACTCGGTTTTAATGAACATGGTTATAGTCAAATTTCTTTTTATTCATATTCGTTATGACATTGCGTCCCCTTTATGTAGTTATAAATCTGTACTATTTAAGGTCAGAAGCTCGCTTTACGGAGAACAGCTCAATCCTTTGAAGTATAATTCCTTGTAAGTTATCGTACCATTTAAGGAATACTGGGAGCGTTTTGCAGAAGTTGACATTAAATGAGTAAGCGAACAATACGTTTAATGTAGATTATTACTGCTACTTTTAGTTTACTGATTTCAATTAAATGTATACTAAAGCTACAGATGGCGTTCGCCACGTCGTTTGTGGTACTTCACTTTTTAGTTTGTATGTTGAAGATGCTATCAATATTTCTAAAGCTTGCATGCTTAGATTTGCGGATGATGTAGCAGTGTTACCATTTAGTAAGGAAGAATTAGAGATAGCTTTAAGTAAAATGGTCTGAAATGTAATGAAAAATATTAATCTGCAATATGAAAATAGGTAGAAAAAACTGGAAAAGGTCGCTAATTTTCGATGTTTAGGGAGTCAGATAAGTTAGGATGCAAAAAGCTCTAATCGAGACGTAAAACAAACAATAGCACATAATCGAATAGCATTTAACACATTCATGATCGTGATGCGTTAATTTGTAAAATCCACAAAGTATATTAAAAGTGCATGTTTGCAGCAAGGCTCTATATAGGTTACGTTAGAAATGAGGAAGTATTAAAAAAAGTAAGAGAACAAGAGGACATAACGAAGTCAATTGGAAATAAGCGAAATATGTATGTAGGACATATATAAGGCTACTTGAAGACAAATCAGAAACAGAAGTAGGAGTTAAGGAGACCAGAGGTAAGACTAGTCTATTGTTCGGAAATAGTCAGAGATATAGATTGTTGTAGCTTTCCAGGAATGTAAAGTTAGGAAAAAATGGATATATCACCTACCAGTTTTTTCAGGTTGAAGATATTATGATGAAGATGCGAATGAAAACGACTATTCCAATCTGTGATATGTATAAAGATTGGAGACGAAGAATTAGAAGAAGTCACTGATCTAGGAAGTTAAAGGTGGAAGGCGTAGTACAGAGATAAAATAAATGATAGTGCAAGCTGGAGTCGTTTTTAACAAAATAAAGTCAGTGCTATGCTCGCGATATATTAATTTAGAAATTTGAAAAAAAAATGTTAAAAGTGTATGTCTTGAGTACGGTTCTGTACGGGTACGGAACAAGAACGGTGTGCACTGTAGAAAATAAAAGGTTAAAAGCATTCGAGATGAAGATAGCGTGGATAGAGAAAATTAGAAATTGGGGAGGGGGGTATTCGGAAGAATAATGAAAGTCAGCAAAAGGCGAGATAAGATGCTGGCATGAGGGCTAATTAGAGACATATTTGAAGCTGAAAGAAGTGTTAAGACGAATTTAGGTAAACCTAGATTAGATTACCGTTCACAAATAGTTAAAAATGCGCGATGTTCTAGTTTTGGGGAAATACCAAGATCAGTCCAAGATAGAAAAGAATGGTGAGTCTTAGGATGGACGACCTTATGATGATGAATGTTCAGAAATATATAAATATAAGATAAATAACATTGACGGGCGGCTTCATTTAATGATTAGATAAAGTTAAATGGAATTTAAAGCAGATATTATCACATAAAGGAAGTATATTTTTAAAATTGTATCTATGAGTTAATGCAAACAACTGATCGTAGGAAGTAAATAAGTTTAAGTAGGCACTTAAAGTAGATTCTGCAGTCAATATTAAATAAACATGCGTTGAAGTGTTTTTTTTTTATTTTTCTTATGTGTACACTTTATTAACGTTTGTGATATTATAATACGACTAAATCTGAATTATTGACATTGGTTCTATTTAAAATGGTTTATTTGAGTACCTACATAAGGGTAGATATTCATTATTTTAAAAATTTAAAAACTATTTCTAATCATAACCATTTACTGTTAGGGTATTTCACAGCATGCACAATCACTACATAGTATAAAACAAAGCCGCTTTCCCGCTGTCTGTCACTATGTATGCTTAAGTCTTTAAAACTGCGCAACGGATTTTGATGCGTTTTTTTTTAAAAGATAAAGTAGTAGAGAAACACTGATAATTTTAGAGGTTTCTAATGTGATGTCGTAAATAAACACATTTTTTTGTGCTTACATTGCAAACGCTGGCTGAACCCTACGAGATAGATCAAAATAATGTACTACAGTATTGTACACCTTAAAAAGGTCTACAAAAAAGTCTGTGTCTATCTCTTAGGGATAACCCACAATAACCATTTTTTATCCTTTACTTTTTATGAGAAATAATGAATTATTTACGAAGCGATTATCCAATTAAGTACCTTAAATACATTGTGCATTTAATATAGATCAATATGGCCCTTTACAGCACGTAATTTAAATAAATATTTTTGAAGATATTACAGATTTAAACTGCAGGGACATAGCGGTTGCAGCGGTACCGGCCGGTTTGTATTGTCTAATGACAAAGAACTGTGAATGTTGTATATAAAGACATTCTGTAGTATATTTAGTATGTTCAGGGGGTGTCTTTTGAAGATTTCCCCTCCTCGATAATAATCTAATAATCTAAACAAAACAAAAATACATTTAGTATCAGCATTCCACCCGTGCGAAGCTGGGGCGGATCGCTGGTTAGTTATAAGGTATTTTGAGGTTAAGAATCTACCTGCTGCAATACAACAGAGTTGCAATAATGTGTTTGCAACGTTCTCTTAAAACGGCTTTGCACGTGCAAGTCAATGATATGATATTGCTTAAATCGCCCAGAATCACCTCACCAATTATATAACGTCAATCACTTTTTAAAAAGTTTGTAAAAAGTATGCAGTAAACTAGACGGAATTTGTTATTTCCGAATTTTATAATGTGATTGGCATTAAAAACACGCTCACCTTCAACGAAATTTCCTTTCCGAGGCTTTGTGTGTCAATCAGATATTGTGTCAATACTTATCATTTTATCGTAATTTAAAAACTTGGAAATTGCACGGTACACTATAGGAACTACAATAAATTTTCCCTAATCGGCGCCATGTTTTTAGGCTCCTCTCATTTGACGGATCCCAATAAAATAATTTTTTCAAGCATTATTCAGATTGCGAACTCACACAAAAAGTCCTCAATGTTTGTGATTTTGTATTTTTAAAAGGTAGCAATGAAACTATTTGTAAGCTTTAAAACTTTTATGATCGAAATATACATGTGAGAATGCCCTACGTTACAGTGTCAAAAGCCAGCCCCACCACTTACACACTATGCTTCTCAAACTCGATTTTTCCAGTCGAGCTTCGAGTTTCTATCTGAAGACAATCATAGACATTCGATACTACTTTAACTGAAAACCACGATAGAAATATTTAATAAATTATAGTTCATTCTCACTTGAGCGGGTTTTTGGCGGCCGATAGTCGATCCACATCCACACACACATGTATACACCAAATTTGACACATATTAAACATTTTAGAAGATTCCAAACATTCTTCAAACACTTTGGCCGAACTATTTATATATAATATGCCATAATATAGTGTCGGAAGCCAGCCCCGCCACTTGCACGTAGTAATTTTCGAATATTTCAGAAACTTTTCGATTCTTTCGGACCAGTTCACTCTGAAAAGTTCTACCAGAGGATAATCCTAGACATTAGAGAAGA